GGCAATGTTTCTGTTATGCATGGGGTCACTATGAGTCAGAATCAACTCAATGGTACCTAACAACAACAATCATTCAGTAGGTGGAAATCCATCTGAAAAAAAAAAAAAAGATTTCTTTATTCCCACCCTACCATATATAACCAAGACCAAACATATAAATGGGATGATATGATCAATGTTTTGTTTTGATATTTTTTTGTCACATTCTACCATTTTTTCTCTCTCATTGAGTTACTTATTCCTGCTGCAGATAACCTGAATTAAAATGTATCTGCCTTTAATATTTTATATGCTTAGTAATATATAAAAATGAATAAAATTTTAATAAATGAATAAGAGAATAAATATTTCTACAGTACATATATACATGTACACAAACATACACATGCTTATATTATAAATTCTTGTTTGAGAATATTGATTGCCATTCTTTTGTTTAAATTATATTTTATTTATCTTTAAAGATTTTATAGTTTTTTATATGTACTCTGTGCCTTTTATGTTTAATTTATTCTGTTGGCAAATAAATTCTTATAAAATTTATGACAGAAATAATATTTGCTCATTGATTTCTAGGTGCTTATTGCTATTATAAAGAGTCTATTATTTTTTAAATATTTTCCATTTGTTCAGCCAGAGTACTAAATTCTCCTATTAATTCTACCAGTTTCCTGAATTTCTTGAGTTTTCTGGATATGCAAAAATATCATCAGGGAAAAAGTATATACCACAATTAATCAATTTTACGGCACCATCATTTGTAAGATATGCCATTATTTTATGTGCCACTAACTGAAAGGAAATGTTGTCAATTAAACTGTGAACTAGGTCAGTTGCTATTCTATGGTGACATATCTGCACTTCAGAAAAGTAAAATGTGAATAATGTAAGACTTTATAATCATGTAAATGCAATAGTTTCATGTATTATTTCCATATTTATATTGATTATTTTTTCTTCTCATCTTATTGCATTTACAAGATCTTCCAATAAAATATTGAACATTGATCTGCTTTTTTATTCATTCACATTCTTGAGAATGGGGCTTATCTATGCTGCTTGACTTTTCAGAGAATGACTTTTGAATTTCTTTAACATATTTAATAGGTTTCATTTTCAACCTTTAGTAAGTTACAGTTCCTACTTTTATTTTTTTACTTCCGTTCACATTTATTAGAATAAGTTCTTCCCTTTGGATCTAGTTTACATTTTTTGTAAGTAGTGTATACACTTAAGATAACATAAATCCTTCTGAGTACAAGTTTTTCAATGCTCCAAATAATTTGTAATATAGTGTCTGCATTTCATTAGATTCTGGATAGTAATTAGTTAATTAGAAGTGAATACCTCAATTTCCAATGAATTATATTTGTGTGATTTTTCATGTTTTTGTATCTAGTAATTCAGATTATTATGAGAGAATTTGGACTGCAAAAGCTTAATTTGTGATAAATGTGCTTGATGTATTAAATACACTTGAGAATATTTTTCCCATGACACATAGCTTTAAAAGCAGCAGACAATATTTTTCAGAAAAAAAGTTTAATCGTTTTGTGAAAATGAGCATGGATATAATCCAAACTTTCATTATGAGTGCAACAATTTGACAGTTTTGACTTTATGCTATTGAGTCATTCCAAGTGCTCTTACCATGTCGAGCCTGAGACTTGAGTCCTAAATCCCTGCGATCCATAATGCGATCCGTAATGCAATCCTCTCCCCTGCCCCACTCTCATCCTCCAGCCTATGATCGCCTGAGCATCTACCAGTCAATTTACAGATTGTTGCTCTATTTTTACTTGCATCTTTATTTCGGACACCATCAATTTACTACTTTGCAATGCTTTTGGCTATAGATTCAAATGAATATTTTATTAAATTTAATTCAGCATTTCAATATGTTTGTAATAGTAATATTTCAGCTTTCCTTAATTCTCTAATTTCTCAATTTGGAAAGTACTTTTATTCTCTTTCTAAACTGTTCATATTTTTACGTTATGCCATTATTCATCCTTATTATGGTCTTTACATAAAATTACTCTTATTTCATACGTTTGGATTTTATTACTATATATATTTGAGTAAAACAATGAATTTTACCCTATATTTTCCAGACTAGAGTAATGGCTTTTATTATATCTTAAAATGTAATATTAAGAAGTTGACTTCATTCCAAAAAAATTGATTTTTGAGAAATCTATTTGCATGTTCTCTTAATGAGATACAAAAACATTTTTAGATATTGCTTTGGAAAGTAAAGATAAGAGAATGTCTTAACCAGGGTTCATGGAAGCTATTTTACAGAAGTGTTGAGAAAATTGATGTTGCTGAAGTATGTTGTTGTTGCTGTAGTTAGGTGCCATTCAGTAGGCTCCAACTCACAGCAACCCTATGTACAACAGAACGAAACACCGGCGGGCCCGTGCCATCCTCACAATCGTTGTTATACTTGAGCCCAATGTTGCAGTCACTGTGTCAATCCACCTTGTTGAGGGTCTTCATCTTTTTGCTGACCCATCCTTTACCAAGCATGATGTTCTTCTCCAGGGACTGGTCCCTCCTGATAATATGTCCAAATTATGTGAGATATAGTCTCACCATCCTTGCTTCTAAGGAAAATTCTGGTTGTACTTCTTCTGAGACAGATTTGCTCGTTCTTTTGGTAGTCCATGGTATATTCAATATTCTTCGCCAAAACCGCAATTCAAAGGCGTCAATTCTTATTCCGTCTTCCTTATTCACCATTCAGCTTTCACATGCACATGACGCGTTTGAAAACACCATGGCTTGGGTCAGACGCACCTTAGTCTTTAAGGTGACATCTTTGCTTTTTAACACTTTAGAGAGGTCTTTGGCAGCAGATTTGCCCAATGCAATGCGGCGTTTGATTTCTTGACTACTGTTTCCATGGGTGTTGATTGTCGATCCACGTAAAATGAAATCCTTGACAACTTCAGATTTTTCTCCATTTATCATGAAGTTTCTTATTGGTGCAGTTATGAAGATTCTTGTTTTCTTTATGTTAAGGTGTAATACATCCTGAAGGCTGTGGTCTTTGATCTTCATCAGTAAGTGCTTCAAATCCTCTTCACTTTCAGCAAGCAAGGTTGTGTCATCTGCATAACACAGGCTGTTAATGAGTCTTCCTCCAATCTGGATGCCCGGTTCTTCTTCAGATAGTTCAGCTTCTTGGACTATTTGCTCAGTATACAGATTAAATGAGTGTGGTGAAAAGATACAACCCTGACACACACCTTTCTTGACTTTAAATCCAGCAGAATCCCCTTGCTCTATTTGAGTGACTGCTTCTTGACCTATACACACGTTCTTGATGAACACAATTAAGTGTCCTGGAATTCCAGTTCTTCACAGTGTTTTCCATAATTTGTTATGATCCACACAGTTGAATAAAACACAGGTTAACATCTTTCTGGTATTCTCTGCTTTCAGCCAGGATTCATCTGACATCAGCAATGATATCCCTGGTTCCACATCCTCTTCTGAATCAGGCTCAAGATAAATCCTGAAGCACAACGATGTCAGTGATACTATAATATCCATATGTCTATAAGGAAAGCAAGTTAATCCGACTATTATTCAAATTTACTTACCAACCACTAAGGCCAAAGATGAAGAAATTGATGATTTTTACCAACTTCTGCAGTCTGAAATTGATGGAACATGCAATCTGGATGTGTTGATAATTACTGGTGGTTGGAATTTGAAAATTGGAACCAAAGAAAAAGGATTGGTAGTTGGAAAATATAGCCTTGGTGACAGAAACAATGCTGGAGATCGCATGATAGAATTTTGCAAGACCAACAACTTCTTCATTGCCAATACATTTTTTTAATGACATAAACGGTGACTATACACATGAACCTCACCAGATGGAATACACAAGAGTCAAATAGAGTACATCTGTGGAAAAAGATGATGGAAAAGCTCAATATCATTAGTCAGAACAAGGCCAGGGGTCCACTGTGGAACAGATAATTACTCATATGCACGTTAAAGTTGAAGCTGAAGAAAATTAAAACAAGTCCACAAGAGCCAAAGTACGACGTTGACTATATCCCATCTGAATTTGGAGACCATGTCAAGAATAGATTTGAAGCTTTGAATACTAATGACTGCAGACCAGACCAGTTGTGGGGTGATATCAACGACAAGGACATCATACATGAAGAAAGCAAGAGGTCATTAAAAAGACAGGAAAAAAAGGAAAGAACAAAATGGATGTCAGAAGAGACTCTGAAACTTGCTCTTGAACGTCGAATAGCTAAAGCAAAAGGAAGAAATGATGAAGTAAAAGAGCTGGACAGAAGATTTCAAAGGGCAGCTGGAGAAGGCAAAGTATTATAATGAAATGTGCAAATACCTGGAGTTAGAAAACCAAGAGAGAAGAAAATGCTCAGCATTTCTTCAGCTGAAAGAACTGAAGAAAAAAGTCAAGCCTCGAGTTGCAATATTGACAGATTCAATGGGGAAAATATTGAACGACGCAGGTAGCATCAAACGAAGATGGAAGGAATACACAGAGTCAGTATACCAAAAAGAATTGATCGACGTTCAACCATTTCAGGAGGCAGCATATGATCAGGGTTGATGGTATTGAAGGATGAAGTCCAAGCTGCTCTGAAGGCATTGGTGAAAAACAAAGCTCTAAAATTGATGGGATACCAATTAAGATGTTTCAATAAATGGATGCGCACTGGAAGTGCTCACTCATGTATGCTAAGAAATTTAGAAAATAGCTACCTGGTCAACTGACTGGAAGAGATCCATATTTATGCTTATTCCCAAGAAAGATGATCCAATGAAATGTGGAAATTATCGAACAATATCATTAATATCACACACAAGTTAAATTTTGCTGAAGATCGTTCAAAAGTGGCTGAAGTATAGATTATTAAAAAAAAATAAGGTTGTAAACTTCAAGGAGAAATGTCTGGGGCCATTGATCGGCTGTTTGAAATTAAAAACAAAATTATTTTGTTTTACTTAGTTGAGAGCAATGCAAGTCTTTCAAATGAGCCCTTGAAAGCTTTCTTAACCTGATTATTCCTCAGAGTATAAATAAATGGATTCAGTGTTGGTGAAACAGAAGAAAAAAGCAGTGAAACCGCTTTATTAATGGTCACTTCTTCCTTTGCTGTAGGATTCATATAGATGAAAAAGCACGTGCCATAGGTGATGGAAACTACAATCATGTGGGAAGAACAAGTTGAAAAGGCCTTTTTCCTTTGTTGGACAGAGGGGAATCTAAATATTGTCCTGATGATACTACTGTATGACAGAACTACACAAGTAAGAGTCATATTTAGGGTCAGCACAGCACAGATGATAACTGTCTGTTCCACAATCCACGTGTCTGAGCATGAGATTTTCACAAGGGGAAATGCATCACAGGCAAAATGGTCAAGCACATTAGAGTCACAAAATTCCAGATTTAAACAAAGGCTTAGAAGTGGGATTATTACACATAAACCAGCCATCCAACAACAGATAATGAGAATCCTGCAAACTCTGCTGTTCACAATGGTCATGTAATGCAAGGGTTTGCAGATGGCCACATAGCGGTCATAGGACATGGCGGCCAGGAGGAAGAATTCTGTTGTTCCACAGAGGTCAGTAAAAAACACTTGGGTCATACAGGCATTATTGGTAATAACCTTGTTACCTGTTACTATGTTATATAAGTATCTAGGAATACAAGCAGAAGTGAATGAGATCTCTAAGAAGGAAAAATTTTTTAGGAAAAAGTACATAGGTGTTTTCAGGTGGGAATCCAGAAAGGTGAGTGTGATGATAGTCAGGTTCCCAGTTACACTCAACATATAGGTGAGAAAGAGAAAGATAAAAATCAGAACCTGCAGCTGAGGGTCATCTGTCAGTCCCAGCAGAATGAATGTCGTTACTGTGCCGTTTCTCATCACTGACTTCTGTCTAATCTGCATCTGCTATTCAGAGAAATTTTATTATAAATTATTTTAACTGTTCAAATATTCAACATATTTAGGCTTTTATTCTTCATTATTTTATGTGTTTATTTTTTTACGTTTTACTTCCATCCTCTGCTTAGGTTTTTCCTATGTAACTAAAATAGATTGCTGAGGAGGTATAATTTTATAGGTAGTAATAGCATCCTTTGATTCTCAAGAATTCTTCCATATTCATAAACTCAATCACAAAATTTCACCATTGCTTTCATGTATTTTCTTGACATTTGAGTCTTTTATTTTATTATTTTTTTAAACAATGCTAATACATAACAGATTACTTGGGCTCATTATATAGACTCCAGAGTAGAGCTTGAGGTCTTCGTTCCAAAAAAAAGATTTTTGTTTGTTGTTTTGCTTTTGGGACAATCGTGTTTTATTCCTACGAACAACCCTAATTCCTATTGTTCCACCCAACACAATCCAGCTTTTTTCTGCTTATGTGCATTCCCTTTACTGAATATGTACGTTACATTTATTGCTGACAAAATGCTGACAGCCTTCTCTTCCCTCCCTGATCTTCCAGTCAAATGAGTTACTTCTCTCTCTGTTGTTGCCTCTTTTGCCTAATAATAAGATATTTAAGCCAGAAGTCAAGAACCTTTCGATTCTGAGTTTGTGATAAGCTGCTCTACAGACTTTTCTCAGGCTTCAACCATTAATTACACCAATAGGGACTCAAACATTTCCAATATACAAATCAATATCTCAAGGCTTCAAGTTTTCTGACATCAATGAATAGAAAAAAAATGTTTTCAGTGTGTACCCAATTTATTTGTTTTATGAGCAGTTTCACTTTATTGCTTGACTTTCTGTGTCTTTATTGAGAAAGGGGCAGAGTTAGCTGTGATGATCTACCCTGTACACAGTGTCCCTGAGATAGAGAAGATGCACTGACTGAGGCTCATAACTTCCCTGAAAGTTAGAATAGCCTTATTGAATTTAATCTCTCATTTAGCAAATATCAACTACTTGTATTAAAATTGAGATGTAGAAGAGTTATTTTTGTGTAGTCCACCTTTCTCTAATCTTCTAATTTATCAGTTAAAGCATGCATCATTGTGAAAACTTACTCAACCCTTTAAAATTTGAGCATTTTTTCCCCAAAATATTGTTATTTTGTAGTTGTTTGGTGCTGTAGAGTCCACAATTTACAATACAATAAAGTTAATATGTAAACTGACACTAAAGTGTAACTAACTGATTTTTGTTTATTCTCTCTTTCAATCAAATGTTCAAAATGAACACAGGAATCTGTAATGAGATGTTGCCACTTCAGCCAATACGTTATTCTTTTTTTTTTTAGGGAGATAGAGTACAGCGGTAAGCTTATATACTACAATACATACAAAGATACCTTACTATTTTAATTTTGGTTGAATGCATAGCCAGAGTTGCCCTCAATATTTCTTATATTAAATTAGATGCACATTTATTTGTATCTTATGCATAAAAATCTCCCAAACAATGACATTTAACTATACAAGATAAATTCATTATAAAAAGTGACATTTCATACCTTGGATACATAGAAAAACTATAAATTATCCTTGAAATCCATTTTAATTTTCCAGAGAAAAATATGCCTAGATGCTACAAAAAGAATTACAATCAAAGAGACAAATTTTATTATACTTACTCTTCTGTTACTAAATCGGAGTTTCTATTGGTTGTTTAAACATAGTAATATTAAAACTACAATGTGGAAAGTGATAATTTTATAAAGACATCTGTGTCTTTACATTCACTGGCAGGTCTGGCAATGCCTAGAGGTCTCAGCAATTTCCATGCCAACATATTGGGCAGACTTCTTCACAATGCGCTTAGTGCTATTATCAGCCCCCAGTATATTCTTACTATCTCCATCATAGAATAGAAAATAAATCATCTCTAAGGCTGGGGTATGTCAGGAAGTCTATCCACTGTTGGAGAAGATGACACTCTAAAACATCACAAGAGTGAGAAATGATTTTACAATGTAAGGCATAATCCTTTTTATTTTTTTAAATTGCTGAACATGCCATGAAGTGAAAAAAACAAAGGGTCTCTGGTGACCTGCATTCAAGAGTCCTTAATGAATTTTCTGAGAAGTAAAATTTGGCTACAAAACAAGTAACATAGTCTTCTGAGGGACTGTGTCCTTGGAGACAGGAGGATAATACAGCAGTACCATAAACGTGGTAGGAGGATAAGTACTTTATTTAAATCACAAAGTTAATTTTCAAAAAATTACATCTACTAAAGCATTTGGAATATTTTACATTCTTTGTTAAAGGATTTCAATCCTTTATTATATGCTATTATCATTGGATAATTTTAATCAGATAAGCAAAAAGAAAAGTTGAAACAATTATATGAGGCTTCTTCTAACATTATAGAGCTTATCTTTCTGACTTTTTATTTCTTCAAATTGTTGTTGGGTGCCATCAAGTTGGTTACAACTCATAGCAACCCAATGTACAACAGAATAAAACACAAACTGATCCTGTGCCATCCTCACAATTGTTGTTATGCTGGAGCCCATTGTTGCAGCCACTGTGTCAATCCATCTCTTTGAGGGTCTTCCTCTTTTTCAATGACTCTCTCCTCTATCAAGTATGATTTCCTTCTCCAGGGACTGGCCCCTCGTGATAACATGTCCAAAGTACATGAGACAAAGTCTCACCATCCTCACTTCCAAGAAGCACTGTGGCTGTACTTCTTCCAAGACATACTTGTTTTTTCTTCTGGCAGTACATGGTATATTCAGTATTCTTTACCAACACCATAATTCAAAATCATCAATTTTTCTTTGGTCTTCCTTATTCATTGTCTAGCTTTCCCATGCTTATAAGGTGATCGAAAATATTGTGGCTTGAGTCAAGCACACCTTGGTCCTTAAAGTGACATGTTTGCTTTTTAACACTTTAAAGAGATCTTTTGCAGCAGATTTGCTCAATGCAATATGTCCTTTGATTCCCTGATGCTGCTTCCATGGACATTGATACATTATAGACCTTATCTTTCCGAGTTTTTGCTTTTTCAAATACACACACTATATTATAGCTCCCCCACACGTCTGTCAGTTTGTTATACTGTGGGGGCTTGCATGTTGCTGTGATGCTGGAAGCTATGGCACCGCTATTCAAATACCAGCAGGGTCACCCATGGTGGAGAGGTTTCAGCTTAGCTTCCAGACTCAGACAGATTAGGAAGCAGGACCTGGTGGTCTACTTCTGAAAAAAATTAGCCAGTGAAAACCTCATGAATAGCAGGGGAAAATTGTCTGATATACTGCCAGAAGATGAGCTACTCAGGTTGGAAGGCACTCAAAATACTACTAGGGAAGAGTTGCCTCCTTAAAGAGGAGTCGACCTTAATGATGTGGAAGGAGGTAAGCTTTTGGGATCTTCATTTGCTGGTGTGGCGTGACTCAAAATGAGAAGAAACAAGTGCAAGCATCCATTAATATTCATAAGGTGGAATGCATGAAGTATGAAACTAGGAAAATTGAAAATCTTCAAAAATGAAATGGAATGCATAAACATCCATATCCTAGGCATTAGTGAACTGAAATGGACTGGTATTGGCTATTTTCAATCAGACAGTCATATGCTCTACTATGCCAGGAATGACAACTTGAAGAGGAATGGTGTCGTGTTCATCATCAAAAACAACATTTCAAGATCTATCCTGAAGTACAACGTTGACAGTGATAGGATAATATCCATATACCTACAAGGAATACCAGTTAATATGACTATTATTCAGATTTACACACCAACCACTAAGGTCAAAGATGAAGAAATTGAAGATTTTTTTACCAACTTCTGCAGTCTGAAATTGATCTAATATTCATCAAGATGCATTGATAATTACTGGCAATTGGGATGTGTCATGGTTTGAATTATGTCCCGCAAAAAATGTGTGTATCGATTTGGCTGGGCAACGATTCTCAGAATTGTGTGGTTGGCCTCTATTTTGTGATTGTAATTTTATGTTAAAGAGGATTAGGGTGGGATTGTAACACCACCCTTACCCAGGCCACATCCCTGATCCAATGTAAAGGGAGTTTCCCTAGGGTGTGGACTGCACCGCCTTTTACCTTACAAGAGATAAAAGGAAGGGGAAGCAAGCAGAGAATGGGGGACCTCATACTACCAAGAAAGCAGTGCCAGGAGCAAAATGCATCCTTTGGACCAGAAATTCCCGTGCAGAGACTCTCCCAGACCAAGGGAAGACTGATGATGACGAGGACCTTTCTCCAGAGCTGACAGAGAGAGAAAGCCTTCCCCTGGAGATGGTGCCCTGAATTTGGACTTCTAGACTACTAGACTGTGAGAAAATAAATTTCTCTTTGTTAAAGCCATCCACTGGTGGTATTTCTGTTAGAGCAGCACTAGATGACCAAGACAGAATTTGGTACCAGGAGTAGGGTGCTGTTCTAACAGATACCTAAAATGTGGGAACGGCTTTGAAACTGTGAATGGATAGGGGAGAAGCAGCGGCGGAGGACCAGCAGCAGCAGAGAACCTGCATCGCTAGAGAAGTGGCAACAGCAGAGTACTGGTAGCAGCAGAACCAGGAGACCAGTGCCGGAAGGCACTGGAGCCGACGTACTGAGCGAGGGAGCTGAGTGCCGGTGCGCACGAGGCTTCCTAGTGGAGTGGGGTACCTCTGGGCACTTACTGCTGGAGCTACAGAGCTTTGGAACACTTGCCCCAACAGGGCAGATGCAGGCGTGATGCCCGAGGGCTGAGACTCCACAGGAAACAGAAACAGAAGCGGAAGCTGAAGAGACAAGGAACACAAGAAGCCAAGCTGCCTCAGTCTCAAAAGGTATGGCCATGACCTCTGGGGTTTCAAAGGGTGGAGCCCTGGCCTCTGGTGGTTCTAAGGGTGGAGTTGCCACTCAGATGGACTGGGATGATGGTGCACCTAAAGCTGAGGGAGCAGAGCTGCTGTCCCAGTGGGCCTGG